ATACTCCAGCAGTTGCTATGCAAAGGAGCATTAACTGAGCTTGACATAGAGTTGATGTTCTCTTAGAATTTGGAAGACCTGTTGCAAATGTTGTTGATGAGCTGTTAGATCTTTGCTGAAGACCAATATGCCATCCATAAAGAACAACACAATTTTTTTGGTGCAGCCTTTCAGAATGAAGTTCATGAAACCAACAGGACAGGAGATGCAAAAGGAGACATGCTAGGAGAAATAATTCATGCAGCTAACATTTCAGACACTTGCCTCTCTATCTCATCTTTCTGCAGAGGAGAATATCTGTAAGGTCTGGCATTCACAGGAGCAGTATTGGATAGCAGAGAAATTGCATGATCAAATCCTTTGTTGGTGGTAGTCCTGTAGGTTCTTGGAAGATATCAGCAAAGGAGTCTATAGTTTTCTGAATGCAGTCAGGAGTTTTAGAAACAGAGGGCATTGTGTTTACAGACAGCACTGCCGTTGCCCAGATATCATTTCCTTTGTGACACTTCACTACCTGATCTATAGTGAGCTCTTGTAGTTGAGTGATGGGTTTTGCTTTCAGGCCTTGCAAGGTGATAGTTTCCTTGTTGTCTTGGAACTGTATCCACTGCTCTTCCCAATGACAGGCCATGGGACTCCACTGAGAGAGCCAATCCATGCCAAGTATAGCCCCCTATGGACAGCACTCTCGTATCAGTGGAGAAAGTGTGCCCTTGTGCCCACAAATTCAGGCCGTGCACCATGTGTGTACACTTTAGTTTCTCTCCATTAGCTACCTTGACAGTCATAGCACTTGGGAGCTACACTGTTGGGCATTTTAATTTGTCTACAAGTTGTTGATCTAAGAAAGTGTGAGAGCTACCTGAGTCTACTAAGAGCAGCATCACTTGATTTCCCACCAGAGCTCGAATCTGAATTGTTTTTGTGTTGGTAGTACCAGCCAGAGCATTCACTGAGAGATACGCAGCAGCTTCTTCTATAATTTCCTCTTTAGCAATGGCGTCCAGCACAACATCAGACAGATGAGCTGCTTATTCAGCCATGTGAAGTGCCTTGACCTGTGCCACCTGTTTATTAGCACAAACATGTCCAGGTGCAAACTTATCACCACAACTATAGCACAGCCCATTCTGTCATCTGTAATCCTTCAGTTGCCATGCTTTCCACATATCTCCAGCAGCTAGTTGAGACTGTGGTGTTTGTTCTGGCCGGGACTGGGTTTTTGTGTAAGTTGAACTTCTGAAAGTCCTGTTATTTCCTTGTTTGGCCCTATCGAGCAGAGCTTCTTGCACCAATGCATATTCACAAGCACTTGCTATTGTGGTACGTAACTGCATCTCAACAACAGCTCGCAGTTCCTCTTTGAGCCCCAGGACAAACTGCGTCACCAACATTGTTTCACTGATATTGCCCTCATACATCCAGACCTGGTACACCAACTGATGAAAAGTCGTGAGATATTCCTGAACCGTGCCCTGTTGCCACAGCACCAGCAAATCCCTCATACAATGCGGTGAACATTGACCTCAAATTCCTGTGTGATTGCTGTGCAAAAAATGTCCCATCTACTGCAGTACTCTGTCAGTTTGTAGGACTGAAACCAGTGAGCGGCGTTACCATGCAGGTGCATCGACACGGACATCAGCTTGAATGAGTATGGTATTTGATACAGCAGGAAAAATAAGCCTTGCAATTATCCAACCAGATACGCACATCCTCGCCCTCAAATCGTGGAAACTCCATATTTGGCATCCACGGCCACTCACTGCTCTGCTCCTCTTGAACAGGTTGTGACTGTGATACCTTTTTCTTTTTTTGCGGAGTGTGACTGTGATACCTGGGGTTCTGCTGGTGGGCGCGGTTGTAGGGGCGGAGGTAGTGGTGGTGGTGGTGGTGCACGGGATGTAGTCGGCACCCCAAAATTTGCTGCAGCCTTTGGCGACACGCCCAAACAGCCCTCCGCCACGATCCGATCCTACTTTGCATCTCTGACGACTGACGCTGGTGGATTCCTTCAGCACTAGCGCCACCTGAACTTGCTCGTGGTGGATCTCTCCGATAGAACTCACCGACAGATTTACCTTGGCCTATACCTGATCCAACCGCGAGACTTGCTCTTCGAATTTAGCATCCAGCCCGTCAAGACGAGTCTGAATCACCTCAATCCCATCCACCTTCGCCTGAAGTACCTAGTCTGCGTGCTCGGCTTGAACGGTGCCGTTGTCACTTCCTCTGAATTCGACCGAACACTGATCTCGAATTTACAGTCGACTGCACAAGGCAATCAACCAGTCGATGTTACTGGTGAATCTCGAGTTTGTGAAGCGCGATCAGGACCAACGAAGCTTTGAATACCAATTGTAATACCTGAACCCCAGGGTAGCCAGAAGAATTGGGGATCGGAGGAGATGAGTTCAACTTGGAGAGGAAGAAGGAAGGTAGGAGAAGCAATGTTTCATTTCTCATCAATCGATGCCTGTTAGTTGTTACAGACTAGACTCGGAGCTTATATCCTCGCTCGTACAGCCCACACGCATACTGTATCCTATCGGGCACTTTTCGCCACAGTAGATAGTCTGGCACGCTTCAGTGACAGCTCACTTGCGTTGACATCAATACATAAACAAGGTGGCTTTCTGAAGCTAACACCCTAAACCTCAAGGCAATTTCCAGAGCCGTTGCGGCTCTGGTATTTCATGAGCCGCTACAATCTGACGAAAGACCAAACCAGGCAACACCCCTAGGGGAAAGCAACAAGCACGCCACTGACACCCGCTCAAGTAAAACCGAAACTTGTTGTTTCACCTGGAGAGCCGAGACTCAAATGACAAGCCGGTCACGGCTATGGCGATGAGGGGCAGTGACATGCACCCATCGGCTAGGTTTCAACAAATAATTGATTTGCGAGAGACTTTCATCAGATAGCCTATTTTTTAAATGGCTTTTAATAGAGAGGATTCTACTGGGCAAGGTTCGCTCTATTGTTTTTTACAAACAAGATTCATTCCATTCCCAGGTCAAAAGGGGCAACACACTACGTCCCGAGCTCACCGAAGAACGGGGGTATATATGCATTGTCGGTACGTTTCATTTCTCAAGAAGACGACTCAAATTCAGAGATGCTGTTGGACTAGAGTACAAATTCAAACACACAAAGAATGAAACGTCATGGGCATAAGCAGAGATCGTGGCACATGAGCAAACAACGCCGAAAAATATTTGTACACACGGAAAATAGTGCATACAATGCAAGCAAATGAACTGCAAGATTCAGAGACAGGGCAAATGGTAAGCAAGTTCATTTCTCTTCCTGCCAGTTTGAATATTGCCTACGTGAATCACTAAACAGACGGCAATTCACAGTTGAGAAGATTAATTCCATTTCTGCATACAGAATGGACGAACCTGCAGCGAATAATCCATTTCTGCATCTCAGACAACGAAATCCTAACTCTTGATACCTGTAGAGAAATCAATACCATCAGCCAGACTGATTTGTAATATCCCAACTTATCTCGCAATTTTTGTTTGACTCAAACACTGGAAATTGCGCCAGAAGCTCAAAACTGAATTAAGTCAGCATTACTGGACAAAACCAGCATTATATAGGAGATCAATTAATTTGTAGCAGCACACCTTCATTTCCTACTGTTAGCATATTCTCAAGTTTTTCGCTGCATCTGGTCTTGTCATTTTTTTCAGGTGTTCAGTACAACAAATATTAAACATCCATATTGATCGAAATTGAAGAAAGTAGACTGCACAGAAACCACATGCTTTTAGAAAAACAGGGCCCTGCCCCAGTACCGTTTTCATCGAAAACAAAACCAACATTCGAACAGAGTGCCAGTACGCAGGGAATGGCCGAATGCTAACCCAGCAGAGCACAAAGAAATCGTAGTTTGGATCAGAAAAAACTATATTGGATGTTATCTGAGTTAAACTAACAAATAAAGAGCCATGCTGAGAAAATATATAACCAAACCGCTTAAGATTAACATAATTATACAATAACAACTGCAAGCGATCTTAAGGTATTATAACGATCCTGAATGAGCAATAATGTGAAAGAAATTGCAAGCCCATATTAATCAAATAAAGTTTAAAGCCAAATACTAGGACATTGTTAGTTATCAAATATTTGCATTGATGGAAAAACAAATAAATCATCCTCAAACTTGAAACTTGACATACACACAGGAAAAACTCAATTCAATGTAGCAACCAGCAAAAGTAAAAAACAAAAAAAATACCCTGGAAGGACAGGAAAGAAAAAATATTCCATTCGGCTACTACTAACAGATAGTTACCTGCTCAGTCAATACATCATGATAGTATGCCTATCCGGAAAAATCATATTATGTATTGTGCAAGAGTTTAACTCCATCGTGTCCACCCCCAATGCCCATGTCTACAAGAATAGGAAGTCCAGGAACCAACGAGATTCCAACGAACAGTTAAATGCATACAAGGGGGCACTAACTAGATTTATGCACACTACTACATAATTCCAGAAAACAATTCAGCTGTATCTGATAATGAAATTCTTGAATATGGCAATAGGCCCTCAACAATAAAAAATAGTTCGCTAATTATATACAGAATTTGCCAATCCGCCTCAAATATATTATTTCTGCCAGTCATTCTGTTCGTTGTTTTACTCTGAATATCTAAAGAATAAACGGATAAAGTGTTTGCTACCTCTGACTCGAAGCACATAACTCAACAATAACAACACGAGAATATCAAATAACTTGGTTTCTCTTTACCTGCAGTATAGACACCTTCGAATGGATAATAGCGACGCCAGGAGAAACTGTGGTGGGATTCGAAAAGTTTCTTTAACTGCGATGATTTAAACTGAAGCATGAAAATGTCGCCGATAAATGCCCACAGTAACACCACATTGTTGTCCTCGGCAAACCCAAGTATCCTTGCCTCCTCTGAATTCATGGAAAGTAGCTTGTCTAGTGCAACAGTTCTTCCCAGCACCCATGAAGCTACACCATCTTCTTCTTCCATAACTGGATGCAGTTCTCCGAAATGAAGAGGAAACCAAGGCCACCACCCTCAGCCTGCATAACCGTGAGCAAGCAACTGCCGACATCGATGATTTCCACTGGCACATTTATCACACTTAGGCTCTGCCTATCCAAATTAAATTCAAGTATTCCAAACCAATTCCCAGAAAGCAACCAGTAAAGGGAATTCCCAACCATCACAGAGCACATGTCATGGTAAACCATGGTGGGTACATGAGGATCGTCGGCCGGAAGCAGTGTCCACACCAGATTACTCCATAGACCAGTCTCCGACGAGTACACCGAGGCGACAGCCTGTGTAAGTTTTATGTCGCTGTTGCCAACCAAGACAACCTGGAAGTGGTTGGCTTCTTCGGGAGCACGAAGCACCGCTCCGTTAATCACGGTTTCCTCCTTGTCGAACCCTGGGGGAATGTCTAGGCGGTGCTGGTCACCCGTGAGGGGGTCCCATACCAGGAGCTGGTTCCGCGTCCAAAGGAAGATGAGCATGAGGCCATGGCGGCATCCGAGGATCATGACGGTGCCGCCGGTGTCGATGGGAAAGGGGAAGCGGGTTTGCGGGACGCGATTGGGGGCCTCCAGCGTAGGTTCGAAATGGACGGTGTAGAGAGTTTGGACGAAGCAGCCGAGGAGGGGAGGGTTGCGGCGGTGGTGCTCGCGGAAGCGGCGGAGAAATCGGGGGTCGGATACGATGCGTCGCCAGAGCTTACAGGCGAGGGACGCGCGGGGGAGGGATGAGGGCAGCGGGGGGAGGCGGAGGAGGATCTCGGAGAGGAGGTCTTCGTCGTCCAGCGGCGCCGCCGCCGACGACCTAGGGCGGCTGCGGGGGCTGCTCATCTCCTCACCGATGCGCGATCTGCAGGCTCTCCAACGAGACAATGAAGAAGAAGAAGAGCCCAAAAGAAAGGGAAGCCCAGAACAAGGTTTTGAAGGTAGTGATACGTAGGGATGGCGAACCAATCTCTGATTGAGATGGATAGGTGAACAGTGGTTTCTCCAACCCAGCAGGGTTCAAATCCTGATGCTCGCATTTATTTTGGATTTATTTCAGAAATTCCGGTGATACGCTTTCAGTCTGTACTGTGTTTAAAAAAAGATACGTAGGGATGTACCGGGTCAACCTACTTATTTTTTCATAATAACCTTCTAAAAATATGTTTTCTTCAAGTTATTGGGAGTTTCCTTCAAACGTGCAAGTTCAAAATGTTGTGTGTACTAGTGTGGCCTTCTAAAACATATAAACCATGTTCCACCACCGTCGTTGCAGTGAATATGATGTTGTTGTATGGTTAAGAAATGAAGTACATGTGGCTTTATTCCACCAAAAAACTCTTTTTGCACATACCGCTTTTTAAAATAACTCGCAATATCAATAGATCTAGATTTTTTATACACATAGTATGTCTTTATAAAATTCCACTGCTACAAATTTATTTTCTGGAATGCACACAAACAACATTGATACATATTTTTGTTTGTGATAGCGATGATGTTTTTGAGTTTTGGTCGCACCTCTCCTCTCTCTTTCCGTGCTTTTGAACTCTTTATTTATACCCGGCTCATCAATGAATCATTATTTCGGCATCCTTTCTTTCAAGCAATTTGTCCCCTGGTATTGTTGTATATTCAGCAAACAGTCTTTTAATTCTGCCATTGGGATGTGAGGGTCATGCGATTGCGACTTTGTCAAACATCTCTGCTGCAGGTTTTTCACTAGAGGCTTGTAAGAATACACCGATGTGAATGCGTGATCAAGAAACTACAAGTTGGGTCGAACTTGATGTAACTTTGTTTATACCGAGGCTCCTGGTTGGCCGTGTTTTTTCATACTACAATTTAGACCCTTTGTACCATCTTTCTTTGATCAATAAAAATCATTTCATCCGTTTCAGTGCTATATATATCCATTTAAGCGTCAACTAATTTCGGACGGAAAGAGTATATCATTGCCAAGAAGGCCTTGTTAAATGGGGCTTTTGAGTTGGGTTGATCTATTGGATTATGGAGTGTGTGACGTATATCAAGTACTCTGTGAAATTGAACAAGAAATTATTGAAAGAATTTTCGCCTGCTCGAGGCCTCCCACGAAGTGGTTCATTGTCCCCATTATTATTATTATTGTTATTATTATTATTATTATTATTATTATTATTATTATTATTATTATCTGTTGTTGATGCACTCTCTCCTCTGATGAAAAGGAAGTGACTGATGGGGGCTAGTACCTTTTAAAATTTGTCGGCGGACATCGGGTATCTTTCACCTGGTCTTCGCTGATAACTCCTTGTTGTTTTTCTATGCTAATGCGGAACAAACCAATATTATAAAGAATGTTTTGAACACATATGTGCATCCTTGTCTGGACAACATGTGAATCCGTGAAAGTGTTCCATTCTTGTTTTTCTGTGGCATGTTTGTTGAAAAAAAAAAGAAATTTTGGAGCTCTCTCGTGGAGTCTCTGAACCTGGGGGGCAATGCACGAAGGTAAAATCCAATCACTACAAAAAATAATTAGAAAGAGACTAATTGTCCGCGGAGAGAAGTATTCCTCTTCCAAGGCAAAAGAGATGTTAATTGAGTCGGTGGTACTGGCCATTCCAACCAATGTTTTAAGTGTGTTTAGGCTGCCCGCATTTATTTGTGACGAGCTCAAGAATTTGACATGACGATTCTGACAAAGATATTTCTTTTTGAAACGGAGGCAAAAGATTTGTCTCGTCTCACTTAATAAGAAGTGAAGAGCAAAGTCTGTTTGTTACATGACCACAAAGGTCAAACAAAAAACACAAAGGGATCACTCTCCCGGTAAAATGTTACTCAAAAATTTTGCCCCTGCAAGCACCTAGAGCATCGCCTCCGCCTTGATCGACGCAATAACATGTGAGGGTAAGGAGGCCTTTTTGCGAAACACATTCGCGTTCCTTTCATTTCAAAGTGCTCAACGGACTAACATCTTCAAAGAATTATAGGCCTTCCTGTTGACTCCTACCATCTCACCATGTTTGTTCGATCACGTTGCCACGAATGAAAGAACGGACCAGGAATTGACCTGAATTGCATCCCCAGCCATGCATTGATCGCATCCCAAATCCTAGCAGCGTAGCGGCATTTGAAGATTAGGTGCGCCCCGTTTCTTTCTGGTTCACACATGATCTTGCAGGATGAGCCATGGGAAAAATCTAATTTTTGGTGGAGCCATATTTTTCAGACCATCCTTGGCATGTCCGACTTTATCAATCTTGCGAATTGCATTATCTACGCCGTGGTGGCAGAATAGCACCAATCCGCAGGGAATTTCCATCGAATTCTGGTAGAGAGTGGATAATGGAAAAAGGAAGATGGATTGTTGGCCTGGGAGATCCTCCCCAAATCTCATGGCCTGGGAGAGTGGATAATGCAATGTTTTAAGCAGACCTTGTTGGCCAAACAAGCTTGGTGTCTGGTCGAGGGACCGGCAAAGTTTATGCACTTGTCTACTTTGCGCAAAATATTAACTAATGGGTCATAGTGGATATTATCTTGATCAGGAAGTCTCAGCTGTGTGGCTGGAATAGAGCACAGATGAAGATGAATTCTCACTACAAAATCAAGGTTTTTTGTGATGAGCCACTTGTGTCACGTAAAATTGATCTTCGGAAGAAAAATGCACTAGTGATGGTTTCTGGCCGTGGTCCATCACTGAATCATTGTCACAAAAAAATAAAATACTTATGGTACCACTTTTTCCATGACCTAAGATCTGTCACATGGTTCGTTCAGGTTTTTTCACTAGAGTCTATTTTTCTTGACGGTCAGGACTGTCACCATTTGAACAACCGATTTGCCACATAATATCATTATTTTCGGTGACGAGGTACCATCACTAACAATTGGTGCGTCAATTTTGACTGGTCAACGATTCTGACATATGGGCCCAGAAAATGCTGACATGGCTTCTTACATGTGAGTCTAGACGGTATTAATGTGGCTGTTTATGTGGGTCCAGACGGTGATGATGGCTTGCATTTCCGTCATAATTGTCGTCACTTATTGAAGCGTACCAACATATCTCAATATGTGGCTGACAGAAAGTTTCATCAAGCCTTTCAGTTTGGCTAATCCTTTTGTGATGGATAAAGCGGTAGTACATCTTCTTTCATGCAATAAGATAAAGGGTAGTCACTGAAATGCTTAATCTTGTATACAAGTTCTCACCCTTATCTTGTCATAACAATTGAAATATGCTACACATTTCTTATTATTATTAACTGCCAACCGTCTTTTTCCGATTTATTGAAAAAGCAAAGGTTTTGCCTCATTTTAGAGAAAGAGTTCTTGAACAGTCGATATATATACATACTAATCCTTGTATATAATGGCAGAAGTTCGCCAGATGCATTTGAGTCTGATCTCCCACCTTCGAAACCAGCCACTCTTAAAACGGTTCAGATATAGTCAGTTCACTATTAGTTTTTTTGCCGCCAAGTAAACATGCAAAAAAGGTGGCTTACCGAAGCTACACCCCGAACATGAAGACAATTTTTGGAGCCGTTGCTCTGGTTTCTCGCTACCATCCGATGGGAGACCAAACAACAAGCACACCGCTAACACTCGCTCCAGGTCTCCAGCAAAAAGCAAAAACTTGAGTACTCCCTCCGCCCGAAAAAGCCTGTCCCAAGCTTGTTTTTGAAATGGATGTATCTAGCTTTACCTTGGTGCTAGATACATTCATTTGAGGGACAAGCTTTTTCTGACAGAGGGAGTATTCACCTAGAGAGACGACATTCAAATGACGAGCCCGATGAGGGGCAGCAACATGACCCCAGTGGCTAGGTTTCCGAGAAACAATTAATTTGCGAGGCTTTTCACCAGGTAGCCTCTTTTTTAAGCAAGTAGAACGGGCGGGCAAAATCACGTGAGATTTGTTATCTAAATGGGACTGACTCGGCTCCGGAACGGGCATCATAAACAAAAAGATCCATTCCATTCCCAGGTCGAAAGGGGCGACACACTATACACTGAAGCACAGGGCCGGGGTACATACATCAATGCAAGCAAATGAAGTGCAAGAGTAAGTGACAGGGCCAGCGCCCGAGCAAGTTCATTTCCCTTCCTGCCAGTTGGAATATTGCCTACACAAATCAGATAGCCGACTGCAGTTCACAGCTGATAGCAGACTACACAAGTTCACACCACATTTGCTACAAGTTCACACCACATTTGACCAGGGCGTGATGTATATAGAATGGAACAACCTACAGCAAATAATCCATTTCTGCATCTCACACAACGAAAACCGAACTCTAGCTACCTGCAGAGCAACCAATGCAATCAGCCAGACTGATCTAATCTCCATTCATGGGAAAAACTTTTAAACTAATCTCACAGTTTTTGTTTGATTCAGACAGTATAGCTTCAACATTGCAGAAATTGCGCCAAAAGCAAAAAATTGAATCAACTCTGCATTATTGGACAGATGCAACATTATATAGAAAGAACAACAAAAGGAGACCAATTAATCTGTAGCAGCACACCGCCAATTCCTATTGTTAGCATTCTTAAGTTTCTGGCTACAGTCTTATCATTTTAATCATGCGTTCAGTTCAAAAATTATTAAACATCTATAATGACCAAAATCGAAGAACATAGAATGTACACAAACCACGCCAACAGACAACATTTTGTAGAAGAACAGGGCCCCGCCCTGGTCCTTTTCATCAAAAACAAAAACGACATTCTATATTTCTCTGCGTCAAAAACGGAAGGTAAAGGAAGCAATGATTAGGCAACTCAGCTTCGTATAACAGCAAAAAGGGGAAGAAACATGACTTCCAGGTCAACATTTGCCTCCTTTTTTACCCACAAGTCACATAGCTGCTTCTTACGACAGCATAACACTCCCATTCTTGGACCATTCATACTTAAGCTACTCAACAGATAAGAGGCAAACATACTAAACTGAATAATATTTTCTGGCCACATGATCAGGATGAATTGAACAAGAACAACCACAATTGACTTGCAACCGCCCTGTTTAAACTGCTCAACGAAATATGACCAGCTTGATGGTAGTATACTAAACTGAAATAACCTTTTCTGGCCACATGATCAGGATGAATTGAACAAGAACAACCACAATGGACTTGCAACCTCCATGCTTAAACTGCTCGACGACCAGCTTGATAGTTGTATCTTCGAAAAGGCAACATCGGCAGACTTCAGATGATGGATTTTGTCCACTATGCAATGTAACACTAATGCGCACGCCACACTTAAGAGATCAGTTTGTCCTCGCCAGCGATTGACAACATTCTGCCACAATCTGTAAAGATACCAAGCACAAAACTCATGACCAACTTAAGAATTTATAATTTGTTTTGCCATGTACCTTTTCTTAGTTCAAAAGAAGATTCCATGGATGGATTTCAGATATGACCTTTAGCTATGCCAAAAATTAACATACAGTTTTTGAAGAAAATCTAAAGCCAGGAAACAGGACAATATTATATCAACAAGTCTTATTTGATTGTTTGGTAGTCTCCAATTTAGCCTAGCAGCAAGTTCATGTTTCATCATCTACTTGACCAATCAACGGCTCTAACGAATGGAGAAACTTCATTCTGGGGGTAATATGCAATTGGCTTACTTCCCATAAAGTGGTCCGCGTAAATAGCACATGAGTCCAGATTCACCAATGAAACAAGAGATGCCTTTTATTTTAGGATAGCATAATGTTGAGTACTTGACATCATTTTTCCATGTTTGCGGTATGCGCGTAAAACATCTGAGTTACATGCTTGCTAAACTAAAATATGTTCTTCAGATGATTTACAGATGGCAATCATTTTATGATGAGATTAAACTATATCTTGGATCCCTGTCCAAAAATGCCAATTAGTCCTTCTGAAGATGAGATCGACACTGAACTTCAGATTTCAGGAAAGAGAAACAGCAGAGATTACACTCTTAGTTTAGTTCTAATTGGCCGAGTCAAGCATTATCCAGACAGTAACTTACAATATCAGGATAAATTGTCAAATCAATATGGCCCACATGTGTCAGCCATGCATGCGCCACTGTGTATAGTTCAGCCGCATTTCAATTGATTAGACCTCACGTGGGACCACTCTCTCGTCTACCCTAATGCACCATTTAAATACAAGGTTAATCAACATGTTTTAACTAATTGTGGTTTATTATTTATTATGTACTAAAAAATAATGTAATTGTTCTCAGAAAAAACTAATGAAGTTAATTACTGGATTATATACCAAAGGAATTTTTAGATGGCTGTGGCGAACTCTACTAGAAATTCCAAAGAACTTTACAAAATCCAAAGAAACAATTAGTCAGGGCAAAGTGTTCTCAAAAGTTCTTCCGATTTTTATGGCAAAGTTCGGACACCATGTTAGCAAAGTCCTGTTAAAAATTTCTTCGTTTCTTAGAAAGTTCTTCATACTTTTTATAAAGTCCTTTGGAATTTTTGATTATGTTCTTCCGCTTTCCTGTGTATGGAGAGGAAACAAAATAAGATCAATCCATCTTCATAGGTATGCTGGATGGAAAATCCATCACATAGATGCCACTATCACACAGAAGCCAGATGCAGATCAAAAGATTGAGAAAAGAATAATAAAATTATTTCAAAAAACGAAATATATCGAATATTGGTCTTGTTCTAAAGGTCCTTTTGTCAGGAGTTCAAATATATAAAAATTCCTGAAATCAAAATATTGATTTAAAAGATATAAATGATTCAAATTAGGAAAGTTGAAATAAAAGGGGTGGATTTGTTTGGGAGAGAGAGCGGAGAAGAGAGAGAGTGGGCATGCACTGCTGATGTGATGTGTACCTGTTGATGTGATGTGCATGGCAGCATGGCGACATGTGGTGAAGATTGGAGTTGTGCGCGCAAAAGGTTAGGAATAGCCATATTCGGATAACATTCTGCCATGATCTAAAAAGACACCGTGCACAAAAATAATAACCAAAAGTTCAGCTCAGCATTCCACTTTGGTGAGGGGTATGTACTAGTACTAATTATGAAGGTTACAAGAGCCTGATACGCGAGCTACAGCCATATGCTAGAAAAGAGAAGTGTCCTATTTAACAAAAAGAAAATCTGAAGCAAGGTTACAGAATAATATAAGATCACCAAGTTTGCGTGCACATTTAGCAATACAATAGATCCACGTCATGACCCTTAACTAAAACATGAAACACAAAACTACATTCTGTTTAATGAATCAGAACCAACGAACTAAGCAAGCATCCAGAAACTGTAAAGAAAATGCATGACAACAGATAAGCAAGAGCCAGTATCATACCTGGAGGGTAGAAGCTCATGTAGGGTAGGACGCTAAAGTAGACCCCAGGCTCATCAACCTTCTTAAGCTGCCCAGAGCTGAGCTTGATCATAAATAAGCCAGCACCTGTGCATACGAAGATGACACCCACACCCTCTGCAGACCCAACAACAAATGGTTTCTCATCTTGTTTGGCAACAGGCACCGTTTTCTCCAGTTCGATGACCCTGTATTGCACCCATTCCGCAGGTCCTTCCATATCCATTGACCACATATAGAGGCTGGAATCCTTAATGTAGGCAAAGCCAAGTGAACTGTTCTCCTCCATCGCCATGAGGGCAATGTAATACATGGTGTGCGGCGGCGGGTCAATCATGGATAAGCTGTTCCTGCCCAAGTCATACTTGACGATTGCATTACCCAGCCGAACTGTGAAGTAGACTGCATCTCCGACAAGGGTGCCTCGCTTAGGGTGGAGATAGGGTGTGTAGCAGCGTCTATATGCTTCTCCCTCTCGCATGTGCTTTGCAAAGGTTTCACAACTGTTGTCGAGACACACCGGCTCGGTCCATGCCCCCGTCTCCGACGAGTAGACGCTCGCGCATATGGTGTCCTCGTAGTCGTGGGTGGCGGCGAAGAGCACGCGGAAGGGGCCGCCGTGGCAGTCGAGGTGGTCGCAGCCCTCGGCGGCGCAGAGCACTGCCGCGGACTCGATGAGCCACTCGATGTCCGGGGCGGGGACGGCGTGGCGGTCGCCCGTGATAGGGTCCCAGACGAGGTAGTCCATGTCCTCGTGCTCCAGCATGCGGACGAGGACGCGGCCGTGGCGGCAGTCGAGGGCGCGCGTGCGGCGGCAGTCGGAGCTCGGGTGGGGGAAATCCGGCACCGACGTGGTGGCGGCGAAGCGGGCGGGCGCGTCCCCGTCGATCACCCTGAGCCTGTGGAGGAGGCCGAGGAGGGGAGGGGCGCCGTGGAAGGCGCGGTAGCGGCGGAGGAAGCCCGGGTCGCAGAGAATGCGGAGCCACGGCTTGCAGACGAGGGCCGCGCGGAAGAGGTGCTCCGGATCGTCCGGCGGGAGGCGGAGGAGGATCTCGGCGGTGACGTCGTCGATCAGCCGCGCCATGGACGGCGGAAGCGAGGGTTTTGGGTGGGGATTGGGGGAGAGTCGGAGCAGAACGAGGCAGGTTGGGCTCTTCAACGGTTCAACCAGAACCGGCTTCAGCCTTATTTTGACGTGGCCATCTGGGCCGTGCCAGCTGGTCCAGCCCGTTAGCACACAGGCACGGCACGAGCTGAACGGGCCATGCCCCGGCACGGGGCACGCCAGGGAACATCGGCCGACACGACATGGCCCGTTTAACATTTTGTTTTAAATTTATATATATGGCATAAAAGAGAAAAAGTCCAAAACAAACCTTGAAGTTGTAGACAAAAGCTAAGTCAAACCTTGAGCTTTGAATTTCGGAAATTGGCACTCTGAACTTGTAATCCTGGTCTATTTTGGACCCTAGACCTGTCTGGTACACTGGGAATACTACAATCCCGACCGTGATAACCCGCTACTCTCTCATGGACAAGAATTTGGGCCGGCCCACTTTAACACAACAAGAATTCGTGAAGACTTAAAAATGTTCACGCATTCCTGAAATTGTCCAGTAGTTAAAAAATGTTCATATATTCTATTTTTGGCACAAATTGAATTCCTTTTAAAAAAATGTTTGGAATTTTGAAATTATATTCGCATTTTTTAAAATTGTAAGAGATTAAAAAAATCACATTTGTCAAAAATTGTTCGGAGTCAACAGTTCTCCACATGCTATGAAAAGTGTTTTGAATGTTAAAAATTGTGTCACGTCTTTTAAATAATGTTTTTGTAATTTATTAAATTGTTTCGTAAACAAAAAATATTTCGGATTTTCGGCTGCGGACTGGACCGGGCCGGCCCACCAGACATGAAGTGAGTTTTTTTTCTTAATATGCGATGTAAAAATTTGTCCTTTCTTTTTCTTAATGCGCAACATAATAATAATTCGAAACCAGAAACAACTGCTTTGGATTCGAACTATGTTTGGAATTTTGAAATTCTATTTGCATTTTTCAAAATTGTAAGTGATTAAAAAAGTCACATTTTTCAAAAAAAAAATCGGAGTTCCAACAGTTCTTCACATGCTATGTAAAGTGTTCGGATGTTCAAAATTGTGTCAAATTTATTAAATAATGTTTTTGTAATTTCTTAAACTATTTCGTAAATAAAAAATATTTCGTATTATCGGCTGCGGACTGGACCGGGCCGGCCCACCAGACATGAAGCGAGTTTTTTTTCGTAATATGCGACGTAAAAATTCGTCCTTTCTTTTTCTTAATGCGCAGCATAATAATAATTCAAAAATTGAAACAACTACTTTGGAGTCAAACTTGGGACCTGGCAGGGTTGACCCCATTCCGCTATCTAGTACAGCAAACGACTATGACTGACATAATCAGAGGCTTGAAATATTTAATCAGAAAGCAAAGCGTCGAACTTTGTAAACATTTTTTAGGAGCAAACAAGTATTGAGAACGTATTTTTCTCTAAAATCTTCGAGCATTTTATAAAGTGCGAGCATTTTTTTAAAATTTCGAATACTTTTAAAAACCAACAACTCTCTTTTTTGCGGGTGAAAAAACCAACAACTCTGAAAAGGCAAGCACTTTTTGAAACCTGAACAAAATATTTAAAGTGCGAACATTTTTTGAAACATAAAACATTTCTGACGCCTTCACAAAATTTTAAAGTGCGATCACTTTTTGAAACATAAACATTTTCTGAAACCTGAAAATATTTTGTGACGCCTAAAAAATATCACAAGTTTTAAAAATGTATGGACCAATTCAAAAAAATGTTTATACAATGAATAGTAATATTGGTGTGATTCAAAAAAATGTTTGGTACATTCAATTTTTTTTAACATTTCAAGAATCTTCACGAGTTTCAAAAAATGTGTGTACAATGTAAAAAAATGTTTGTGTGTTGCAAAAAATGTGTCGTACCCTTAACAGATTATACGTGGCATGTGTTTGAAATAAGTGTATACAAATTTAAAAATGTTGAACTATGTAAAAGAAAAGAGAACGAAAAAAACAAAGAAAAACCAGAGTAGTGCGCGAGCGCGAGTGACTACGCTAATGGGCCGTCCCAATTCAGCAAATACTGGCTAAGTCCCTTCAAGGTTCGCAATAGACAAGGATTAGAGAGTTTGGTGTGCTGATTTCAGGGATTGAGACTTCAGGGTTTAATTTAGCTTTCGCCTATAAATCCAACTGCAACCCAATAGGCTAACAATGGCTCAAAAAATAGTCCCGACAGGCCAATAAACACGTGGGCCTACATGCCTGGCGTGCTGACGGGCTGGCCCGATTAGCAAAGGGGTTGTGCTTGGGCCTGAGGGCGCAACACGCATGCCAACACAACATGACCCATTCACTAATCGGGCCTTGGTGGGCTATGTCGTGCCCGGCATGATTAGCACAGTTCTGTTGTGTCAGACCCTTTAGCAAGTTGTGGGTTCTATCTAAAAGTTTTTTTATCATAAAAAAATCCTAAAAGTTTTTTTGTACTAACAAAGTGTTCTCCCTTTAGGAAGGCTAGCTTTATTATACTAGTTTACCGAGGAAACTAGGGGCAGCATCCCAAGTGCTAGAGCAATATATAGATATAAATGTTTTCATCATCTACTAATTTAGCGATATAAATGTTTTCATCATCTACTAATTTAGCGAGGAAACTAAGGGCACCATCCCAAACGCTAGAGGGTTTATTACAAAAACTAAATTAAGCTAGCTCACGAGCAACACTCTACTACAGTAGTTTCAGGTTGACCTTTCGGTACCCTATAGCCAAGTCCAAAATATGTGCATATGTTCGCCTCCACCTCCCACCACCACCCCTCCATGCTGGTTTTTCACCCTTCCACAAAAAAACTGAATCGACTCACCCGATCCTCGTTGCTCTGTTTTGCCATATGTCGATTCAATTCAATCGCATAAATACTAGGTAATTCAGGTTTCAAAAATCACATCATATATGTGAGATCACTTTCCTAAAAGTCAGATAGAAGATCTTTGTGCAATAAACTATGAAAACAAAATCGGATATTTCTCAATGAAAAATCGTTAATCCCATGTACTTGCCCAATTTTCAAAAAACGGTAAGCGTGAGCCGAGCGAAAGGCCACAACTTAGAGCAATGGCCTCTTAAGCGCAGCTTAACCCGAAATAGGCATTTTTTTAAAAAAAAATTGGCCAGAATTCGGCTGTTTTTTTAATAATATGCACAAAAAAGGAAACATAGCACATAGATAACTGAAAATCCGAAATATCATATAAGGTTGTGGTTCAGTGGTTCACACACCATAACAAATAGCGAAATAACACATAAGAATAAGGTTTAGTGGTTCACACAGCAAGGATAAATGCATAACATTTTCTTAGAATGATTGTATAAGATAAAGGGGCCAAATGGTAGCAACCAAGCAGCAGCTCACGTAGCTACAACAACAGCAGCCAAACAACAACCCTTGCCCAAGCAGTAGCTGCTCAAGCAGTAGTTCATGACTTCATGGATGATTCATCACCCACATAAGTGCACCCAATCACCACTCCATCTTCATCATCCTTGTGCTTTATGTCCTCCCTTCTGCTCATGCATTCTCTAGTTCCTCTTCGTCTGACTCAAACTCTTCATCATGGAGATCTCTAACTCTTGGACTTCAACGAAGCTCAGGTTGTTCACTATTTCCCATAGCCTCTTCAGTGACACTCCAATGTATGCCATCTGCTCCCTCATGTCCATCTGGAAACACCATGAAAGCATGATCATGTCCAAGGTCCCATTTTCAAAATCTCTCACCAGTGCCATAAAATCATTTTTGATAACCTCCCAAAAGTGTTGATAAAAAAGAAATGATAGACGATCAGGGCCAGGGGCCCCATTAGCATATGAGCACATGATGGCTTCTTTAATTTCCTCTTCTGAAAAGGGCTTTTCCAGGGAAGCATTCTCTGCTTCTGTCACCGGTTCTTCCTCACACCAAAACTGGTCATCTAGATGGATATTGGGTCTGGGTTCATAACCAAAAAGGTTTTTATAAAAGTCAGTAGCAACATCCAACATGTGCTTAGTGGAGTATACAGGGCCATCTGGCCCTGCCAGGATAGATAGCTGGTTTTCCTTCTGTGTTGGTTAGCAACAACATGAAAATATGCTGTGTTTCTATCTCCCTCTTTGATCTTCCTATCTCTAGATCTCTGCCACATGGCAGTTTCCTCTTTTCTCCAAATCTCTTCAAGCTCTCCCTTGATTTGTTTCATTCTGAGGACATCCCCAGCATTGGTTCTGTTTTGTTCAACAAAGACATCAAGGATATCAAATTCCTGTAGTAGGTCTTTTTTCCTTTTCTTCATGGATGCTTCTAGGTTTATACTCCATCCTTTAACAATTTCCTAAATAGCTTGGTTTTGAACTGCCAAGTCCCAATAGCAGTTGTGCATGGTGAAGGTGTGGCCCAAATCCTTTCCACCAAGGCTCGAAAATCTGGTTGTTCCAGCCACCACTTCTCAAATTTAAATGGTCTGGATGGGTTAGAAGTACCCACCCCGGAGTCATGGAGAATTGGGGCATGGTCACTTCCCACTCTAGGTAGCGCACACAAAGTGGTAAGGGGGGAGTGACTATCCCAGCTAGTAGCAGAGAAAACTCTGTTAATAGTGGCAAAGATTGGGTTGTCCTGATTATTACTCCAGGTATAAACCCTGTTAGACAGCTTATACTCCATAAGGCCCCATTTATTTATCCAGTCATTGAACAAGAACGTCCAAGAAGTGTTAATATTGCCTGAAGATTTATCTTTAGCCTCTCTAATCAGATTGAAGTCACCCCCAAACAGAACAAGATATCACAAGTCATCCATACTTTCATGTAGTTTAGCAATAAAGTCAATTTTGTCTACAACATAAGCTGTGCCATAAACCACAATCAAATGCCAGCAGAAACCATCAGTTTTGTTTTTTAAGGTAATGATAATACAATATTTTTTTATTACAAACACTAAGGACCTCAAAAAGATTAGATTTAGTACCCACAAG